TTAAAACCTGAAAGTACCATTTTTTTAAAACAGTGCCTTTCATTAAGGATACAAAACGTAAGATTTAAATAAACCACCTGCTTTTTCAACAAGTGACTAACAAACACAATCATTCTTCTGACCCATTCTTTCTGCTTCCTCCTAATCCCCCTCCTCCACCCTTTTATCTTCTTTAGGCTTGGTCTATGCTTACTCTGAAACCAATACTCCTGAAATAGTTTTTTTTTTTCTGGGGTTTGATTTAGCGGATCTAGTAAGGACCCACTAAATTGATCACCGATGGGGTTGTGAGAAGTAAGGGAAGTCAACGGGAAAGTTTTTCCCATCGACCTCCTGCAGTAGGGATGCTTCAGAAATTCAACCTAAGGTACGTCAACTCTAGCTAAGCTATACACATAGCTGGAGTAGCACATCTTCTGTTGACTTTCTCACATAGTGTAGATCTGGCTTTAGTGTTGGTAGTGTTCTGATATTCCTGTTAGCTGTACGTTCACATTGATTTCACTGACAAGTTTTACTATTGCAGGTTGCTGACCCATTTTCTGTCTTAGACATTATATTTCCTGTCTGCTGTCAAGCTGTGCTCATCTGAAAGGTTCAGGCAACTTTTGACAAACCAACTCTTGTTTAAACCACTTCTGATAAATCATAATATTAACAGTTATTTTGTGACTTGTAAAAGTAATGCCAAATTCTGGACAGCACATGTGTATTTTTATCCACCTTTTATCTAAACCACAATTAAATGAAATCCTAGATACTCATTTTGGCTTCCAGGTTTAAATCATTATCTTCAAAAATACACTCTAAAAACTGACTGCTGAGCTGTATCTTAAGGAACGTGACAGGCAGGCAGAAGCTAAGACAATGTGAAGGCATGAGTGCCACAAGCTCAGATTCCAGGGGCCTGATGCAATCCTGCAGGCAGAGAAGGCTGAAAACTTCACCCCATGTCCAGCAGGTGCACCTGGGGCAAGGAGGTGACTGGATTCACCCTTGTCTAAAGTAAGAGTAACTTTTGCACATTTGCCCTGCCCTCCTCCAACAAGACTTCCAAGGAAACTATAAAACCAGGTTCTGCCTGAGTAAGTTCTTTGGGAAATACACCCAGCCAGCCCTTCTCCAGTGTGTTCTGGCTACATCTACTCCCTTGACAGAACTGAGGGCTGAGCTGGCTGTTTCTAGACCCCTCTGGTTAAACAAGGTTGTTTATACCTTTTGTTGCTGTGATCCCCTGTAGATGGACTTCCAGCCATGTGAGTCCCAGCAAGAATGAAACAATCTTCAGGATTTGAGCTCTCAGAGCTTGGATGTGTCACAAAGGTTAAGATCGTTTTGGGGAATGGAAGACAACCATCTTCCTCCGGACACAGCATTGGTTAGTTTAGAAAGAGCTTGTGCGGGAAGCTGTTTGCTGTCTGTTGCAATTTTGGTCATAGCTGGAAGTGGTAGGTGATGAGACTGGCAAGCAGTCACAAAATTTTAAACACTGAGGCTTTTTTTATTTTGGGGAATATGGGGTAAGAATGATAATTAATGAATGACAGCTATGTCAGCCTACCAGCTTAGATGCTTTTCCCATTTTATCATAGTACTGATAAATGAGAAGACCATTTTACATGAGCTTATGCACTTTTCTGAAACTGCAGTAACAATTCTAATAGCAACAACAAAAAATAAAGTGGAGGAATATTTCTGCAAGCTGATCAATATCAATTCAAGAGGTTTTTCATAATGACCTTATGAGAGACACAAATGGAAATACTCTACACTTCTGGCATGCCTCGCTCCAAAGTATTTAGAATATTAGTGACAATATTGAAAAGTTTGCTGACTGAGCTGATCAGTGGAATGTGAAGGCAGTTTATTTTGAGGCTATTTACTTTCACACTGAATATTTATCTATTAGTCAGTTTATATTCCACTCAAAATGTTTTCTTGTGTGTTTCAAATCCATAAAGGAGAAAATAAACCATTCCACTAAACTACATAGGCCAAACAGCATCTGGGCAAGCTATACCAGCTCCCCAGAGGCTATGATCTGTAAAATAGTACAAGGTCATTTTACATTGGTTTGCATAGAACTTTGCGGTGTGGTTTTCAAAAGAAAATAATATAGTGTAAAACTCAAAATTGTTTCAGTAGCTGTTTTGTAAACTTCATTATATTTACACATCAAAAGCAAACTTTGGTTCCATACAGGTTTTCTGCTGTCTGAAAATACATACAAGCCCATGCATTTCTTCTTAGCCAGCGAATCATCAGCCTATTCTATAAAGTTGATGGATACGGATACATGACATGATAAAATGAGGCCACTGAAATAAACTTCTAAAATCCTCTTTTCACTTACACCAGTGTGAAATCAGTATAACTCCAATTATTTCAGTGGAGTTTACTCCTGATTTTTACCCAAAAGAGTCAACTCCAAAATGTATTAGCTGTATCTGTTGGTTTTCATCATCAGATCTGCAGGCTCCCATGCATGCTCTTTACAGCACAGACTCCCTTTCTTCCGATATGTGTGCATATGTGTATATAATATTTATATGTACATACACACCAAGTAATTTTTTTCTTTCCTTTGAGAAGTAAAAACTTTTTTTGTTTAATTACCTACAGAATTATGTGAAGCACATGCACAACCATGGCGCTATTCATATTTCAAAATTCAAAAGCAAGCAAACAAACAAAAAACCCCAGCTGTATTGGTGACTAACCAATACATGAACTGAAGCTCGTACTCTGCAAAGACCTTTGGTTGACATTCGATTTTGAACCTGCCAGATGCATTTTTGTGAACCAGGAATACTGCATCTTTAATGAACA